TGAATCTCATTGTGCACCTTCAACCAATCGATTGACTTAGTTGCAATTTTATAGTTATCGCATATTTTAACGTGATACTAAGTATTCAACAATTTTGAGAGGGGAAAATTTATTTCAAAAGTTCGTAGTAGATGCTTGGGCCTATACTGAACAGAATCGATTGACATATTATAAGCTTAATTAAGCAAAATTTTGTGCAAAACTTTACCAGGGACTGACCGATGTTTGTGCAGATGAACAAACACCCGATAAAATTGGTCAATGAATGATTTTGTCATCTTCATTCACTGATAGTGCAAGACATATGTTTGAAATCTATCAAGATTTGATGGCTATCACACGTTACAACCAACACCCAAATATCTTTCTCACTATGACTGCAAATCCTAATTGGCCTGAAATTTCTTTAGCTCTGTTAGAACATCAACAACTTGTTGATCGTTCAAATTTAGTTGCCCATATTTTTGAGTTAAATGGGAGGTTTTTGATGAAGATGATAGAGATGAAAAACATATTTGGTAAAAAGATAGCACATGTTTTCACGATTAAATTCCAAAAAACAAGGGCTACCACACTTGCATGCACTTCTGTTCCATAAAGGTCCAGGCAAAATTCAATCATGTTCTCAGGTAGACAAGGTAGTTTGTGCTGAATTTCCTGATGTAGACAAAGATCCTCTTCTTTTTGATACGATCAAGAGTTGTATGGTACATGGATCATGTGGTGTTCGAAATTCACATGCATCATGTATGAATAATGGTGTATGTATTAACAGGTACCCTCGAACATTTTTAAGCATGGACAAAGATGAATATCTTGTTTATCGTTATCGTGATAATGGTCTTGTTTATACTGTTAGGGGCCAAGAAGTTGATAATAGGGGTGTTGTGTCATACAATTCTTATCTTTCAAGAATGTTCAACTTTCATATTAATGTGGAATTTTGTGCGGGAATAAGATGTGTGGAATACATCCATAAGTACATTTATAAATGCCATGATCGCACCACGATGGTGTTGGGAGGAGAAAATGAAATTCAACAATATCTTGATGCAAGGTATATTGGATCTCTAGAGGTTGCTTGACGAATATTTAGTAATCGTTTACATGAAGAGATTCAATCGGTTATACGTTTAAAACAAGAAAACCACAATATGGACACCTAGACAAAGGGGGTATGCAATTGGCAGAATGTACTTTGCTAGCTCAAATTCAAGTGAGCGTTTTTATCTACTTTTGCTACTAAAAGTTGTCAAATGACCAACATCATTTGACAAACAACGTTATGTACAATTCTTTCGAATTTGCATGTGTTGCAAGAGGTCTTCTAGAAGATGATGTTGAATGGATACAATGTCTTCAAGAGGCTTCAATTATGAAAACGGGACACCAATTGAGGAGATTGTTTGATATTATTCTAACTGAATGCTCTCAGCTATATCCATTTGAATTATGGAACCAATTTTTAGTGCATATATGTGATGATCTTAAATCCAAAATTCATACAATGTTTGGTATTTCAAATACAACTCAGGATCAAATCGAAGATTATAGTTTATATTTGCTGAATCAATTGCTCCATGAATCAAGCTTAATAGACTTCCCACCAATGCCGCAACCAATTGGAAATTGGAATGCAATAGTTGGTAATAGACTATTGTTTGAACATCAAAAACTCCAAAATGAAGCGTAACAGTCAAATGTACAAAGTAATGTTGATCGCCTTAATGATGCACAACATGTTGCTTATGCTGAAATCACTTTATCAATGTTTCAAGATATGAACTACTTTCTTCTTGAGTGGGGGTACCGGGATAGGGAAGACATTTTTGTACAACACAATTGCAATGAAATTGGCCTCGGACATATTGTTGTTAAAGTTGCTTTTTTTTGGCATTGCGTCTTTATTATTGATGGGAGGCCGCACGGCACATTCAACATTTTGTATTCCCTTAAAGGTACTTGAGAATTTGACTTGTGGCTTTACCAAACAATCGATGCATGCAGAGTTGTTCAAAAAAAAAAAAAAACTAATAATATGGGATGAAGTACCTATGCAACATAGACATTGTGTTGAGGTAGTGGATCGCACACTTAAAGATATTTGTGATAATAAAAAGCCGTTTGGGGGTATTATTGTTGTGCTTGCGAAGACTTTTGACAAATCTTGCCAGTTATACCGAGAGAAGTCTGCGAGCAATTTGTGGGTGCATCGTTAAGGCGATCATTTTTGTGGAGGGATATACATGTTTTGACTCTGGGTTTAAACATGCACTTACTCACATGGATTTTAGAAATGCTGCATTTGCAAACTTTTTAATAGAGGTAATAATTTATTCATCAATAATTTTATGAAATACTAGTTGGTGCACATGTGCGTTGCACATGAACCGTTTTGAATATGAATTATGTTATCTAATTTTTATAAAAATTATCACATATTTCTTCGCTCAAAAGTTAGGAACATTTTAAGATGTATGAAATTGCAAAATTACTGGATAATCAGAAAATAATCTAGTCATCCCTTGCCTTCTTTTTTTTTATCTATAGCATTGTTGGAAGAGTCATGAAAAATGAAATAAAGCTAGTAAAAGATGATATCTGTCAACATCCATGACCAATCATCCATGACTGACAAACTAGGTGTTGCAAGTGTCGAATGATCGATGCTTACTGTACAGAATAACATGAGTTAGTAATATGTGGTTGCACCTAAATGATAATTCACAACCTCTAGGAGAAGGCCATTTTTGAATTATAATCTACTTTTGTCAGATTTATACCTCTGGAAAGAACTTACAAGCTTAAAAGAACATAAAAGGATGGGTATGTTGCAAAGATTTTGACAAGGCAAAGCAGGATAATTTTGGTATTAGATTTCCAAAGATTTTAGCATTGATTTCAAAATATTTTAATAGTAAAATTGCATGGAACATGATGTAAACATTAACGAGATTTTAAATTATTAAGCTTCTACATCTATTTGATATTGAATTATTGTATCTTTTTCTTTTGGTTGTTCTGTATTAGAATGAGATTTTATTGACGTTCTTAATCACAAAGTTATAATATTTTTTATTACAGGCGCATATACAGTAAAATCTTCAAAAAGGCTCAAGTATATAAGTTGAAGAGAGAGGAGAAACGCTTGAGTGTATGTCATGGTTAATGGCCTTGTAAGTGATAGTGATTCATTATCGCTAGTTAGAAATTTTAGATATTCAAATTATATATCAAGTCACATCAAATTAAAATCATGTTTTTTTTTTCTTGTTGCACAACAATTTTATGGGTTTTTAAGGCTATCATTGATGGTGAAATCCATAAGAATGAAGAAGATAAGAAATAGTTACTATAAAACAATTGGCATTGAGGTGCAGAACATAAGTAGACCAACTCTACCTTCTAATAGCCAATTAAAATTAGTTTGCCTATAATTATCTCAATTAGTCTTTGCTCAGTATATAAATTTATAAATACACACACTTAATTCTTTTTTTTTTTTTTATAATGTTTATTTTGCCAAATTTGCCTATAATTTTTTTTTATAATGGTTGCTTTTATAGGATTTGCTAGTTTAAGAAAATTTCTTGCATCATTGATGGGTTCTTAGAGTACTTAATAAGTCACCACTGTTTCTTTCGTAATGTAAATTTTTATTCATTTTCATTTTGTGTTTTCATATAATTTTCATTGGCCAAATATGTTTATGTATAATTACCGCTGATCAATGTCTTGTCCCTGATGACAATTACGAAGTCATTAAAAGATACAAAAAAATACAACAATGTGGACAAGAGATATAACCATAGATATGAACAATAATTTAAACAATTACAGAATCAGTGCAACATCTATTAGTTTAACCGTGATTTAAACAAAGTTTAAAATCCAAAGGGTTGGGTACAAATTAAATAGCCCCACTTACATTCCAAGTTAACTTCTGATATTATAATTCGTCACTTTAAAAATGATCTTAACAAGAGCATAAACAGTAAATATCCTCACTATCTAGAACATTGGTGTTCAATAATATATCCAATTAGAATTACTCTTTCTATTGTTTGAACGTGACATAATAGGTAAGCCTAACACCAAAGAGTGAGGTCATTTTCAATGATCTGATCAAACATTAACTAAATATGTGAAGCCACAAAATTGTTACAGCTCTAAAGAGTTCTAGAAACACTTTTTTCTTCACAAGGGTAATAGTCGTCCACGCTCTTAATTTGATTGGATCACATTGTCTACGAGCATTGCAATTACAGCTTTGAAATGAATTCAAATCCCCACAACATAGTTGAAAGCTTGAACAATAATCAACAAATTAAAGATAGTCAAAATAATCAGAAATAAGAGAAAGATATATAGCGATTCTGATTAAAAGGCATATCAAATAAAACAACACTAACAAAATTGAAAAATTACCTTTTGTTATATCAGGATCTGCTATTTCAACATTCAGTCATCTACTCAGCAACACCACTACCAACAACATATTAAATGTAGCTATGACTATACACATGAATCTCATATCAAAATAATTTGTAACAAATAAAATTTCAATAGAAAAAATTTAACAGAGTTCTCTTCGAAAACATATTATATTTTATCATACTTATTCACACCCAAAACTAACCACGAATCATAACAATTAATCAAAGAAAAAAAATTTAAAAATAAAAATCAAAAGACCTAGGTGTGTGTGAAGTGCGTCTGTGTGTGAAGTGTGTTTGTGCGATTTTGTGTTTTGGCCAGTGAGTCTTCATGCCAATTGGAATAGCGAAGCTATAACTTGCGACTGCAATTTATCCAATACCTTTTTGAATGTATCCAATCTTATGTTCTAGAAAGCTATCATTGCTCCATGCCTTTTGGTGATCCCTGGTCTTCATGACTTCATGTGATTGATAGGTATATATTACTCAAAAGCCATGATCCTTTGGTCTTCATGACTACTACACACATGAATCTCATATCCTCAGTAAAATAAAAAAGACTCGATGTGAGGATGCAAGAGCAAGGCCATTACCAGCTTCCTCCTGAGATGAGCTTGTCTTAGGATTGGACCTATTAAGCTTCACACCTGGATCAATAATGGTTGAAGCATATGGCTCAGAAGTTGAATCAAATAGGAACCGATATCCATATATATTAGAGGGAGGAGGCGTCACCGTTGGAGACGATAGTGCCGATCTGGGATGGACTTTGAATTCTTCATCAACAAATTCAAGAACAATAATGAATGGAGCTCTCTCTACAACTCTAAGCTAGAAAAACTCAGATTTTGAATGGAAAACAATTGAAAATCAAATATCAAGTACTAAAAAGGGGGAAAAACCCTAAACAATTATAGTGGTAATATTACACTTTAAAGGGCAGCTTATGATCGGAGGTGAGAGTGGCTTTGAATGCGTTCTCTAAGACTTACTATATGTTTTTCAGCAAGAAGGAGAAAATGACAAAAAAGGTCGAAGTGACAAAAAATAGAGAGGATAAATAAGATAGGCTGACCGACATAAGAACATCGAGGTGGAGAATAAGAACAGACACATCAGGTGGGAGTTATTATGAGAATGACAACACACATCAGGTGCCTTGTGGCTTTAAATTTGGAGGATAATCATGGTATAGTTGTCTTGTTGAAGGGTAAAAGTGAAAAAAAAATGTTTTTCATGTATTATGATATTTTAAAGTTGTATAGATATTGTTTTTCATTAGTATTTATACCTCTTCACTCATTTAACTTCCCAATTTTAATTTTAGGTTGGGACCAATCCAGAAGAAATCATAGAACTTCCATCAACAGTACACAACTATCATATTTTAGAAGAAATGGATATTCAGAATTTACCCGCGTTTAAATGTGGTTGGTACAGTGACCCCGAATTATCTAACTAAACATACAATTCTTTCTACACGTAATGATGATGTTAGTTCTATAAATGCTACAGCATTCAATATATCCCTTGGTGAGACTATTACATATTTAGCTGCAGACAAAATTTCGGAAGATAAGGAACCCGATCATACTATCACGAACCGTTTTTTGAATGAGTATCTAAATCCTTCAGAACTACCACCGTTTAAGTTGGAGTTAAAATTGGGTTGTCCAATAATGTTGTTGCGGAATTTGGCGTCGAAAGATGGGATTTGTAATGGCATGCAATTAATGGTTGTAAGATGTGCCTCGCATGTAATTGATGCTTAGATTTTGAATGGACCATTATCGGGCAATTTAGTTTTCATACCAAGAATATCACTTACACCTTCATCTTCGGAATTACTTTTACAAACGACAAGACGTCAATTTCTTGTGCGCTTAACATATGCTATGACAATCAATAAATCAAATTCGTTGAGGTTGATTTGCGCATACCAGTGTTTAGCCATGGATACCTGTATGTGGCACTGTCCATATGTACATTTTCTGATCGTATAAGTGTTCTTCTTCTTGAAGATGCATTGAATTGCACATCAAACATACTTTTCCCTAAAGTTTTGTTATAAGACTTCCTATTCAATTATTTACAAATGGTACCATTTAGTTACAAATTTTTTCATATTGAATACACGTAATTAAAATAACCATGTTAACTTTACATTATTATCATTCAATATTTGTAGGATTGGTATGAATTGGCTAAAGAAATGAAAAGAATAAAATACAACGCAACTTCACCAATGGGGTTATCGTAATAAGGTAACTCGATTCTTACATTGTTGCAATGAACTGTATTTTTTTTTATAAATTCTATATATTCCACTAAGATTTGTTTTTCTTTTTTTTCCTGTAAAACTATGTTGTTTTCCATTCTCCCAACTTGAGGTTTCGCTTATGTATAGATACTAGAACATTAAGAAAAGTGATCAAAAAAAAGTTCAATGAACTACTAGAAGATTGATTCATTAATTTCATTGTTTAATACTACATACAATCATAAGCTATAAGGCTAAACCATTCAATTAATGTTTATGAATAAGTCACACAATTTTAATATTCTTTGAATTTAATTCATATGCACGGATATATATTTGTTGTCTATTTTCTTGGTTTAATTGTTGCATGTTTATGATTATCAAGAATAATATTGCAGGAATGAATAATAACATGGAAATTTTAATTATTCTATTTCTCTTATTGTTATTGGTGTGTTGTTGTTCTTATTCTTACAATATTAGATCACATGTGATAGTAAAAAAATATTTTATTGTTGTAATATTGGTTAATTGTTGCTAGTTTTATTATTATCAATTTAATTTATAATTTTTATATTATATACAGATAATAAGGAACGCCCTCCTATCTAAGTACGTCGTAGTATGCATTTGACAGTATCAAGCATAATAGATAAATTTGAAAATGATTCTTTTAAAGATTGAACCTCAATCTCAGAGTTTGGGTTGAAAAAAATTAGATTAAGTCGTATGCTACAAAATGTAGGAAAAAACATAAGTGAATATTATATTGTGCAAAAAATAGCAGAGACCCTTCCCACCACTTAGGATTCTGCAAAGGAAAAAATTTTTAATCACGACCGACCAACCTGTGCGGTACGGTTTATACAATTATTAGCGGAAGCGGAGCACAATATTCGTCTACTGTGATTATGGTTTGAGACAGAGAAACTGGATCCACAATCAGATGTCATGGACCATATAAAAAAAGAATCATTATTTAGAGAACTGAGATAAAAAGGTTTCGGTCCGAATAATCCAATAATGTTGTACGTTGTTGTTAACACGCTTCCATCTTCGTGCCCGATTGACTTCATTCATACGAAGTTCAAGAATGGCTTCCTAGATATGATATAATTGGAGGATCTGTTAGAGGATATAAAAAATGACTCAATCTATTTACGAACGTTAGAAAACTGGGAGGCTCAACAAAAGAACAATGAACATCAGAACTTATGAAGCGACATTTTTCAGGGAAAAAAGTTTTCTCAATGTTTTTATGATTTGAATGTGGATGAATTGAAAAAAATATTTATATGTTTTTAGAGAATGAAAAAACATCTAAATATAATATTTTTATGAATACATATTATATTCATTCTTTTGGAAGCTGGTGAAATCTCAAACGGCAAAACTTATTTTTTTGACAGCATTTGTGAACTTATTTTTATTATGTAGATGGTTGCATTTGTGGGCAGTTTTTTATTTGAAATATTTATTACATGGGTGGATTGAGTTTATAATTATATTTTATTATTGAATTAGATTATGGTAATGATGACGAATACAATAACAATTTTATTGATTTTATTTATTATTTAAAAATTGTAAATTTGATTTTGTTCTATTAGTAGTTTTTTTTATTCTGATGTATTTGTATATGTGTTGTTGCTTTAGAGAATTTTTTGTTCATTTTTTTTTATAAATAACGCAATGTCTTCATGCATGTGTAATTACTAATATATATATATATATATATATATATATATATATATTTAAATGGGTAATTGTCAAAAAAAAGGGGGGCATAAGAAGAAATGGTCAGATGTGTTTTAAGGTAAAAAAAAAAACCTTGGACAAGACATTGACAAGTGTCCATGATTGCATTACCCTAAGTAATTACTACGAAGTAGTAAGCTTGGAGGCTAAGGCACTTTGGCTATAAAATAGCCATTGATCAGTGGGAAAAATGTAGAGCAAGGGAGAAGAAAGAAAGAAAGAAAGGTAGGAAGACGACAGAGAAAGAAGAAATAAGAAAAAAAAAAAAAAAAGGAAAAAATGGCGAAGTTTTGAGTTCAAAATTAATTGGTGATTTTAGTCTAAAATTTTATGAAATTGGTACATGTTGTACTTAATACAGCAGTGATCAAACTCATCGGTATCCCTTGGCAATTTCAGGTATGAGGTAGTATACAATATGCTTCTATCTTTAAATCTCTTTGCAAAGAGTGTCATATTATTTATCTCAAAGTTTGTATTCTTATTCGTTTTTTTTATTGATATGAAATCCTACATGTTTTAGTGATCTAACCTGTATTTTTGGCTAAATATTGTGTAGTGATTGGTAAATGTACGAAGTATATTTGAGACATAATTTGTGAAATATGATTGTGGCCCTGCGGTGTATGTTTGTTCGGTTTGATTATAGCCCTATGGGGTGTGATTGTTCAATATGAGTATGGATTTATATACCCAAGAATCACATGTTATGTCACCAAGATGAACCAAATATGAGATTATGTTTGATAGCAGTTGAGTTATGTGACATATCGAATTTGATTCTTGATTTTGTTGTCCACGATTGCTTATTGATTGAGTTCTTCAGTATTTAATCATGTGTATTTTTTTTATCATTGAATATATTATTTCCTAACATATTGCATAATTTCTTGCTTTTAATATTTTTCAAGATATTTGGAAGAAAATGACCAGAGTTGATATTTGAGAAATCAGAGAAGAACAAATCTCGATATAATTTTTATTAAATTGAGGAAAAAATATGCTCATGTCTTTCAATTATCTTTGCAAAGAGTTTCATATTGTTTATTTAGAAGTTTATATTCATATTCGTTATTTTTGACTGACATGAAATCCTATGTATTTTATTGATCTGACTTGTATTTTTTGTTAAATATTTTGGAAGTGATTTGTGCATGTACAAAGTGTAATTAGGGCATAGTTTGTGAAATATGATTATGATCCTCCAGGGTATATTTTTTGATATGTGTATGGATTTATATATCCAAGTGTCCCTTGTAATGTCCTCAGCCAATACGAACCAAGTATGAGGTTATGTTTAATGACAATTGAACTATGTGATGCGTTGAATTTGATTCTTGATTCTATTGTTTATGTTGCTTATCAATTAAGTTCTTTGGTATTTGATCATTTGTATTTTTTTTTTCATCGAGAATATTATTTTTTGTCATATTGTATACTTCTCCAATTTTTTTAAGATGATATGGAAGAAAAGTACCAAAGTTAATATTTGAGAAAATACCAATAGACTTTTGATTCAATGGTACTCCTTGTCTTGTAAAAGATTTGTCTTCTTGAGGTCAAGAGTTCAAGTCCCCTTCCTCCGACCCCCCATTCCAAAAATAATAATAATAATAATAATATTTGAGAAATCGGACATAGATGAAATTTAAATTACAAGTTTTATTATTCTTTGGAGGTCAAATTAATAATTATAATTTTTATTGAGGTAATTAGAGCAATTGCTCTATATTTGGAGATATGCTTATGATTGATTCATAGAGTAACACATTTAGGAAATCGGGGCATTACATGTGATGAATAAGGTACTCCT